TATATTATTAAGTTAAACTACCCAATTCACATGCAAGTGGTGACTTTTGTTTTTGTTTTGACTACACGCGTGACCTTGCTGCTGCTCAGAGACATGAGGAGGCAGCTCCGACGCACAATTGAGTTTTATTGAACCAAATCCAGTTTAGCTGGAGCTAAATCTTTTGTTTGATTTCAAGTTTTGTTTTAAATGTTTTTACAAATTAATGTTCATTTTTATAGAGATTTTTCATAATTTCATTTCATGGCGTCTTTCAAGAAACCCAAGGACGCATAGATAATTAATCACACAGTACAAAAGTATATAATACATGTTTTAAAGTTTAAAAGGTTGTTTGTTTTGAGTATAATTGTTGTTTTGATAACTTCTTTAGTTTCTGGTTTTAAAATGTCATCATTAGTAAGAGAATAAGTAATCTTTATTTACATAGCGCTTGGGAAAACCCAGAGCGCTCAAATTGTTTTGACTTCAGAGAGAAAAACAATCTCATTCGCATACTGATATCTATTGTTTTTTTAAATTGGCTGTTTCAAGGATTGTTTTTCAGACTCTGGCACACTGTGGGAGGGGTCACTGCTGGACACTGGACACCAAAGCCCACCCAGCCACAGGTCACAGATCAAAGAGCAAAGGAAAATGCCACCTCCTTGCCCCTCCCCCCACTACAGAAGTAAGTGGGAGAGAGACCGGGGCCATGAAAGAGAGGTTTCTGGAGACGTGATGGGTGGAGCGTCAGGTAGAGACCTAGAGGGAGTTGAGAGTGTGTCCAGTTGGTTTGCATCACCACAGTGTGACTTTTGACACCTACAGGTGGTTCGAGGAGTCTTGAGACACAACCCCAAAATTCATACACACACACACACACACACATACACACTCATACACTCACACATTCACATTTACATATAGATACATGAAAAAGCAGAACATGAGAAAAAAGCATTTTAAAAGTTTACTCCAATGTAAACACATATTTTTAATTGTCTATCACTTGAATCTTTAGTTGAATCAGTATTTTTTGAGACCAGAAATGTTCATTTGAATTCTATATTGTCATGGACATAATTGACGTCTGTCCTGACACTTTTGATTTGTTGATTTTGTACTGTGTTGTAAACGGTTGTTTTAATTTGTTGTTAAAGTGCTAAATGTGTTGTTAAAGGTGTTGATGTGTTGTAAAGTGCTAAATGTGTGTTGTAAGGTGTTGAATGTGTTGTAAAGTGTAAATGTGTTGTAAAGGTTGTTGGTTGAATGTGTTGTAAAGGTGCTAAATGTGTTGTGTAAGGTGGTTGAAGGTTGTTGTAAAGTGCTAAATGTGTTGTAAGGTGTTGACTTTGTTTGTAAGGTGCTGATGTGTTGTAAAGTGCTGAAGGTGTTGTAAAGTGCTACATGTGTTGTAAAGTGCTAAATGTGTTGAAAGGTGTTGCAATTTGTTGTAATAAAAGTGACTAAATGTGTCTGTAAGGTGTTGAATTTGTGTTAAAGTCTAAAATGTGTTGTAAGGTATTGAATTTGTTTGTAAGGTGCTGCTGAAATGTGTAGTAAGGTGTTGAATGTTGTTGTATAAAAGTAATAAATTTGTTGAATTTTTGTTAAAGTGCTAAATGAGTTGTAGGTGTTGAATGTGTTTGTAAAGTGCTAATGTGTTGTAAGATGTTGAATTTGTGTGTAAGGTGCTATAAATGTGTTGTAGGTGTTGAATTTGTTGTAGTCTTGAATGTAGTTGTAGGTGTTGAATTTGTTTTAAGGTTTGTTGAATCGTGTCGTTTAAAGTGCTAAATGTGTAGTAAGATGTAGAATGTGTTTATTGTAAGATGCTAATGTGTTGTAAGGTGTTGAATTTGTTGTAAGGTGTTGAACTGTGTTGTAAAGTGATAAAAGTGTTGTAAGGTGTTGAATTGTTGTAATGGTGTTGAATTGTGTTGTAAAGTGCTAAATGTGTTTGTAAGGTGTTGAATGTGTTGTAAAGTGCTAAATGTGTTGTAAGGTGTTTGAATTTGTTGTAAGGTGTCTGAAATGTGTTGTAAGGTGTTGACTTAGTGGGTAAAGTGCTCTAAATTTGTTTTAAGGTGTTGAATTTGTTGTAAAGTGCTAAATGTGTTGTAAGGTCGTTGAATGTGGTTGTAAAGTGCAAAAATGTGTTGTAAGGTGTTGAATTGTTGTAAGGTGTCTGAAATGTGTAGTAAGGGTTGGGAATTGTTGTAAAGTGCTAAAATGTGTGTAGTTTTGTTAAAAGTGCTACATGTGTTTGTAAGGTGTTGAACGTGTTGTAAAGTGCTAAATGTGTTGTACTGTGTTGAATTTGTTTGTAAAGTGCTAAATGTGTTGTTAAGGTGTTGAAATTTGTTTTCGGTGTTGCAATTGTTGTCCAGTGCTCCATTTTTGTAAGGTTTTGAATGTGTTAGTAAAGTTCTAAATGTGTTGTAAGGTGTTGGAATTTGTTGTAAGGTGCAGCAATGTGTTGTACGGTAGTGCAAAATGTTGTAAATTTGCTAAATGTGTTTTAAGGTGTAGAATTAGTTGTAAGGTGTTGTTGAATCGTGTTGGTGTAAAGTGCTACCTGTTTTGTACTTATCTAGACTTTTGTCGACACGATCTAAATGTTTAGTAATGTGATTGAATTTGATGTAAGTTGAGCATTTGTTGTAAGGTGTTGAATTTTGTTTTCCACGTGCTAAACATTAGTCATTCCTGTGTTGACATATTATTACCTTGCTTAACTAGATTGTAATTTTTTTGACAGTTTTGACCGTTGCTACCAGAGTTTTCATTAGCTTTCACAATTATTAACTTATCATTCCATTTTATAACTTATATATACTTATTTTTAAATTTCTACAATTTTATACTATTAATAAACATTTCTAACAAATAGAATACCTTTTAATACATAGTATACCTTTCACCCATTTAATACCTTATTTATTTCAATTAATAACATATTACCCATATAATTCATTTTAATCAAAAAATAATTAACTGAGTTATAAATTGTTTTCAATATCACAAATATTTTTACTTTTTTTGACATATATTTCAAATTTACTAAAAGTGATTACATTTTTTTCAATAAATGACCTTTTTATCCTTTTAAAAATTACATTTTTTTACCATCTGTTTAAAATGTTTTCACCTATCTACAATAATTTTACTTTTTTTAAAATTTATTACCATAGCACCCATATAACCTTATATTCCATTTTATTAACCCTATCTCCCATTTTATACCTTATATTTCCATATAATAACTTATAGCCTATAACAATACCTTTTTATCCTATTAATACCTCACCTATACACCCATATATTTACCTTTTAAATATTCCAATAATTCCTTTACCCATATAATTCCATTATTTATCAAAATTAATACACTATAACCCATAGAATTTCCTTTTCATATCTTTATATTCCTTAATTTCATAAAATACACATATTTACATCCCAATACTATATTTACATTTAATACATTTTCTAAACATAATAAACCATGTTCCCCATACCTATCATTTCCCCTATCAATCCCAAAATAACCACACATACCCCTATCACCCTATTCCTATATCCCCTCAATCCAAACATCTCTTATCATCCTTTTCTACAGATAATCCAAATAATCCAAATTTCACTCTAAAATACTCTTTTCCACCTAGCCCCACCATTTCTTCCCTATTCTCTCCTCCTCATACTCCTCTCTCCTCCTCACTCCTCATACAATAAAAGATCCAATTGTCTTACATCCCTTATATTTTCTTCCTCGCATTTATTAATGTCACTTATTCCTACTTATATTCCTTTGTAATACTAATGCATAATACACTGCACTGTACTCATGAGTACCTAAGAATACTTCATCGCTTTAGGCCTCAGCATAATGTTACTTACTGTTTGAAGCATACTAATGTAACTAATTGCAAGAATCTTCATCCTGTGTCGAATTTCCACTAGTACTCATTTCCTACGTTAATACTATTCTCCGTTGAGTACTCTGAATAATTGTAAGCAGCGTCATCCTTACTCCTAATACGATAACTACTCCTTTTATGTAATTGGCTTAAATTTTTTGATACAGTGCAATAAATTTATGTACATTTTAATAACCTATCTATCAATTTGTTGTAACGATATACATGTGATTAAAATATGCAGACATTTGATGTAACTGGCTCTGAATTATTTGTAAAGTGCTCAATTTGTTATTCAGTGTTAAAGTTTATTCCACTTGCTAACTGGTTGTAACTAGCTACCATGATTTTTTCTTAGTTATGAAAATATGTAACTTGCTAATGATATTGTCAGTACTTGTCAAGTTTAGACCCGAGCCTAAAGCTGTTGTTAAGGTGAAAGTATATCCAGATTTATACAACATTGGCTAACCAGTGTTGTAAGTTGTTTCTATTTTGTCAATTGCTAAATGTGGATAATTTTCATTTTATCCAAATAATTACACTTTTACCAAAATTTATACATTTACCAAATTTAACCCTTTCAACATATAATCACCTTATATTCCAATATAACCCTATCATCATATAATACCCTATCACCCATATAATACCCTATTTCCATATACAACCCTATCCACCCATATATTACCTATCACCATATAATACTATAATCAAAATACATACCCTATACACTATAATACCTTACAATCCATAAAATACCCTATCAACCCATATAATACCTTATTATCCATATAATAACCTATTACCCATATAATACCTTAGTAATCAAATAATACCCTATCAACATATAATACTTAAAATCCTAATAATACCCTATCACCAAAATTTACCTTATTATCCTATTATAACCCTATACCCATTAATACCTTTATTATCCAAATAATACCCTATCACCCCATATAATACCCTATATCCATATAATTACCCGATCCACCCATATAATACCCTATCATCCATATAATACCCTATCCACCATATAATACCCTATACCATATAATACAACACACAAACAACACTAATAATATATCTCTCTCAACCCCCAAAATCAAACCCCCCAACCTCCAACCCCCCAACCTCCCAAACCCCCCCAAACTCCAAACCACCCCAACCTAAACCCCCCAAATCAAACCCCCCCAACCAACCCAAACTCAACCCCCAAACCCCCAACCCCCCAAACTCAAACCCCCCCAACCCCCCACCCCCAAACTCAAACCCCCCCCCAACCCCCCCAACCCCCCCAACTCAAAAACCCCCCAACCCCCCACCCCCCCCCCAAACTCCCAAACCCCCCACCAACCACCCAACCCCCCCCAAAAAAACTCAAACCCCCCCCCCAACCCCACCCCAAACTCCAAAAACACCCCCCAAACTCCAATCCACCCCCAACTCAAACCCCCCAAACTTCAAACCCCCAAACTCAACCCCCCCCCAACCCCCCCCAAACCCCAAACCAAACCCCCCAAACCCCCCAACCCCCCCCAAACTCCAACCCCCAACCCCCCCAACCCCAACTCAAACCCCCCCAACCCCAACCCCCCAAACTCCCAAACCACCCCAACCCCCAACCCCCACACTCAAACCCCCCAACCCCAACCCCCCAAACTCCAAACCCCCCCAACCCCACCCCAAACTCCCAAACCCCCCAAACTCCCAATCCACCCCAACTCCCCAAACCCCCCCCCAAACTCCAAACCCCCCCAACCCCCCTCCCCAACCCCCCCCCCCAAACCCCCTCCAAACCCCCCCAATCCCAAACCCCCCAAAACTCCCCAAACCCCAACCCCCCCCAACCTCCCAAACCCCCCAAACCTCCCCAACCCCCCAAAAACCAACACAAAACCAAAAAACCAAAACAACCAAACAACAACCAAAAAAAAAAAAACAACCAACCACCACAACAACACAAACCCAAAACCACAACAACAACAACCCCAACAACAACAACCCCAACAACCAACAACAAAACCACACCAAAAAAACCAAAAACAACAACCAAAACAAACAACAACAAAACAACCCCAAAAACAAAACACCCACCCAACCCCCCAACAATCCTCCCACCCCATTCAACCTTCCATACCCCAAACACTAACCAACAACAAAAAACCAAAAAACAAAAAACCCCCAATCCTCAAAATTCCCCAAAACCACAACCTCAAACCCCCCACCCCCCAACACCCCCATAACTTTCAACCCTAACCCAACAAATCAACAACCCAAAACCCCCCAACAAACTCCCAAAAACCTCACAACCCCCCCTAACCCCTCCCAAAAACCCATCCAACCCAATTCCCTACCCCTCAACAACACCCCCAACCACCCAACCACCCCCTCACCCACACCCCAAACCCCCACCCCTCCAACCCCCCATACTCCAAACCCCCACCCCCAACCCCCAAACATAAACCCCCCCCCCAACCCAACCCCCAATCCACCCCCCCCCAACCCACCCCCCAACACCCCACCCCCAACCCCACCCCCCCCAACACCAAACCCCCCACCCCCAACCCCACACAAAACCCCCCCCAACCCACCACCCCCAACACAACCCCCCCACCCCCAACCCCCACCCACCAACCCCCCCCAACACCCACCCACACATCACACCCCCCAACCCACCCCAAACACAAACCCCCCAACCCTACCCCCAACCCCCCAACCCCCCCCAAACTCAAACCCCCCAACCTCCCCCCCCCACCCACCACACCCCCAACCCAACCCCAATCAAACCCCCCCCAACCCCAAACTCAAACCCCAACCCCACCCCCAAACCCAACCCCCCCCAACCCCCAACCCCCCCCAAACCACAAACCCCCCCCAACCCACCCCCAAACTCAAACCCCCAACCCCCCAACCCCCCCCAAACCCAACCCCCCAACCCACCCCCAATCAACCCCCCACCCCACCCCCAAACTCAAACCCCCCCCACCCCCACCCCCCAAACACAACCCCCCCACCAACCCACCAACCCAACCCCCCAAACTCAAACCCCCCCAACCCCAACCCCCCAACCTCCAACCCCCCAACCCCCCCACCCCCAACTCCAAACCCCCCAACCCAACCCCCCAAATCAAACCCCCCCAACCCCCTACCCCCCCCCAACCAACCCCCCAAACTCCCAAACCCCCCCAACCCCCCTACCCCCCCCAAACTAAACCCCCCAACCCCACCCCCCCAAAACTCAAACCCCCCAACCCCAACTCCAAACCCCCCCCCAACCCCCAACACCCCCAACCTCCCCAACCCCCCCCCAACCCAACCCCCCCAAATCAAACCCCCCAACCCCCCACCCCCCAAACTCCCCAAACCCACCACCAACCCCAAACCCCCCCCAAACTCAACCCCCCCCACCCCACCCCCCCACACCAACCCCCCCCAACCCCCCAAACCCCCCCCAAACTCCAAACCCCCCAACCCAACCCCAAACTTCCCCAAACCCCCCCAACCCCCAACCCCCCCCCAACCAACCCCCCCCCCCCCCAAACTCAAACCCCCCAACCCAACCCCCCCCAACCCCCCCAACCCCCCCAAAATCCAAACCCCCCCAACCCCAACCCCCCCAAACTCAAACTCCCAACCAACCCCCCCAACCAACCCCACCTCACCCCCCCAACCCAACCCCCCCAAACTCACCCCCCAACCCCCACAACCCCCAAACTCAACCCCCCCCAACCCACCCCCCCAAACTCACACCCCCCCCAACCCCCCCAAACAACACACCCCCCCCCCCCAACCCCAACCACCCCAACCCCTCAACCCCCCCAACCCACAACCCCCCCCCAAATCCCAAACCCCCCCAACCCCCCAACCCCCCAAACTCCAAACCCCCCCCAAACCCCAAACCCCCCAAAACTCCCAAACCCCCATACTCAAACCCCCCCCAACTCCCAACCCCCCAACCCCTCAACCCCCCCCCCAACCCCCCAACCCCCCAAACTCATACCCCCCAACCCCAACCCCCCCAAATCAAACCCCCCAACCCCCCCCAAACCCCCAAACATCAAACCCCCCCCAACAAAAAAAAAACCCCCATACCCCCCCCAAACTCCCAAACCCCCCCAACCCCAACCCCCCCAAACTCAAACCCCCCAACCCCCTACCCCCCCAAACTCCCAACCCCCCCACCCCCAACCCCCCAAACTCCATACCCCCAACCCCAACCCCCCCAAACTCCCAAAAACCCCCCCCAACCAACCCCCCCCCAAACTCCAAACCCCCCCCCACCCCAACCCCCAACTCAACCCCCCCACCCCAACCCCCCCAAACTCCAAACCCCCCCCCCCACCCAACCCCAACTCCAAACCCCCCCAACCCCCAACCCCCCCCCCACCCACCCCCCCAAACTCCAACCCAACCCCAACCCCCCCCACCCCCCCCAACCCCCAAACTCACCCCCCCCCAACCCCAAAACCCCCCCAACCTCCCAAAACTTCCCCAACCCCCCCAACCCCCCAACCCCAACCCCCCCCACCCCAACCCCCCCCAACCCAACCCCAACTCCACCCCCCAAACCCCACAAACCCCCAAACTCCTAAACCCCCACCCCCCAACCCCCCCAAACTCCCAACCCCCCAACCCCCCCAACTTCCAAACCCCAAACCCAACCACCCCAACTCCAACCCCCCCCAACCACCAACCTCCCCCAAACTCAAACCCCCCCAACCCAACCCCCAAACTCAAACCCCACAACCCCCCAAACCCCAAACTCAAACCCCCCCTACTAAACCCCCAACCTCCAAACCCCCCAAACTCAACCCCTCCAACCCCCAACCCCCCAACACCCAACCCCCAACCCCAACCCCCAAACTTCAAACCCCCCCAACCCCCCCAACCCCCCCAAACTCCCAAACCCCCCCCCCAACCCCCCAACCCCCCAAACTCAAACCCCCCCCCAACCCTCCCAACCCCCCCCAAACTCCCAAACCCCCCAACCCCCCAACCCCCCCAAACTCCAAAACCCCCCCCAAACCCCCCCATCCCCCCCCAACCCCCAACTCCCCCCAAACTCCCAAAACCCCCCCAACCCCCCCAAACCCCCCCCAAACTCCAAACCCCCCCACCCCCCAAACCCCCCCAAACCTCCCCAAACCCCCCCCAACCCCAACCCACACCCAAACCCCAAACCCCCCCAACCCCCAACCCCCCCAAACTCCAAACCCCCCAACCCCCAACCCCCCCCAAAATTCCAAACCCCCCCAACCACCAACCCCCCAAACTCCCAACCCCCCCCAACCCCCCAACCCCCCCCCAAACTCCCAAACCCCCCCCCCCAAACTCAAACCAACAAACCTCCCCAAACCCCCAACTCAACCCCCCCCACTCCCTAACCCCCCCAACCCCCCAACCCCACCCAAACTCCCAAACCAACATAAAATCCCAACCCCCCCAACCCCTCAACCCCCCCAAAACTCCCAAACCCACCCCCAACCCCAACCCCCCAATCCCTAACCCCCCCCCACCCCCCCAAACTCCCAAACCACCCCCAACCCCCCCCAATCACCCCCAACATTCCCCATACACCCAAATCAACCCCAACCCCCACAAACTAAAACCCCCCCCCCATACACCACCCTTCCACCCCAAAACTCCCAAACCCCCCCCACAACCCCCAAACCCCCCAAACTCACCAACACCCCCCATTTCTCCACAAACCCCCCCACCTCCCAAACCCCCCCCCAACCCCAACCCCCCCCAACCCCCCAAACCCCCCCCCAAAAAATCACTCCCCTACCCCCCATACCCCAATCAACCCACACCATAATCACAAAACTACCCCTACCCACCAAACCCCCACCCCCCAACCCCACCAATCCACCCCACCCCACCAACAACCCCAAACCCCCAAACTCCACCAACCCCCAAACTACACCCACAACCACCCCAAACTCCCATACCCCCCCCACCCCCCATCCACCACAAAATCCCAAACCCCCCCCAAACCCCACCAAACTCCCAAACCCCCCCAAACCCACACCAAACTACCCCTACCTCCCCAACCCCACCCAACCCACCCTACCACACACCTTAAGCACTTACCACCACCCCTAACACCACCAACACCAACAAAACGCACTTAACAACAAAATACCCCACCATTCCACCCCATTAATCACTATCCACCCAATAATCCAAAAACCACCATTCATCACTTACACCCCTTACTCCCCTAACCCTCCCAACCCAAACCCCCCCCCAAAACCCTCAACCCCCCCAACCCCCCAACCCCCCACAACCCAAACCCCCCAACCCCCCAACCCCCCAAACTCCCAAACCCCCCCAACCCCCACCCCCCCCCAAACTCCCAAACCCCCAACCCACCAACCCCCCAAACTCAAACCCCCCAACCCAACCCCAAACTTCAAACCCCCCAACCCAACCCCCCAACCCCCAACTCCCCACACTCCCAAACCCCCCCCAACCCAACCCCCCCAAACTAAACCCCCCAACCCCCCCAAACCCCCCCCAAACTCCAAACCCCCCAACCCACCCACCCCCCCCAAACCCCAAAACCCCCCCCCTACACCCAACCCCCCAAAATCCCAAAACCCCCAACCCCCAACCCCCAAATTCCAAAACCCCCCCATACCCACCCATACCAACCCCAAATCCCAAACCCCCCACCCCCAACCCACCCAAACTCCCAAACCCCACCAAAATCCCAAACAACCCCCAACTCCCTAACCACCCCAAAATCCCAACCCCCACCTACCTCACAAACCCCCCCCCCTATCCACCCCCCAACCAACCCAAACCCAAACCCCCCTCAAACTCCAACCCCCCAACCCCTCAAACACCATTTATCACATTCCACACACCAACACACCAACCCCAAACACAAACTCACAATCCACCACCCACCCCCCAAAATCACAAAACCCCCCTACACCCCCTACTCACCCAACCTCCCAAACCACACCATACATACAAACAACCCCAATCATCCCTATTCACCCCCACCTACCCACACCTTACACCACAAAAATCCCAACCAACCCAAATTCAACCATTACCACCCTTTTATCCCCTTACAACACATTTCGCCACTTAACAACACATTCAGCACTTTACCACACATTCAGCACACTTACAACAAATCAACACCTATACCACCCCTACATGACTAAACACCCCAACCCCCCCAACCCACCCCAAACTCAAACCCCCCCCAACCCCCAACCACCCCAAACTCCCAAACCCCCCCAACCCCCAACCCCCAAACTTCCAAACCCCCCACCACCAACCCCCCAAACTCCAAACCCCACCAACCCCCCAAACTCCCAAACCCCCCCACCCCCAACACCCCAACCTCAAACCCCCCAACCCCCCCCAACCCCCCCAAACTCAAACCCACACCCCACACCACCCCAAACTCCAAAAACACCCCCCAACCCCCAACCCCCCAAACTCCAACACCCCAAACTCCCAAACCCCCCCAACCTTCCAAAACCCCCCCAACCTCCCAAACCCCCCCCAAACTAAACCCCCCAACCTCAAACCCCCCCCTCAAACCCCAAACACAACCCCCAACCTCCCAAACCCCCCAACCCAACCCCCAACTCACACCCCCCCCAACCCACCAACTCAACCCCCCACCCAACCCACCCAACTCCAACCCCCCAACCCCCCCAAACCCCCAACTCACACCCCAACCCAACCCCCAACTCCCAAACCCCCCCCACCCCCAACCCCCACCCACCCAAACCCCCCCCCCCAACAACCCCCAAACTCCAACCCCAACACCCCCCCAACACCCCCAAACTCCAAACCCCCCCAACCCCCAACCCCCACTCAACCCCCCCAACCCCCAACCCCAACCCACCAACCCCCAAAATCAAACCCCACCAAAACCAACCCCCCCCAAACTCCCTAACCCCATCCCATCACCAACCCCCCCCAAACTCAAACACCCCCCAACCACAACCCCCCCAACTCAAACCCCCCACATCAAACCCCCTAACCTCCAAACACCCCCAACATCCAAACCCCCTAATCCAACCCCCCCCCAACCTCCAAAACCCCCCAACTCTCCAATACCCCCCAAACTCAAACCCCCCAACCTCCCAAACCCCAAACTCAAACCCCCCCATACCCCCCCCCCCAACCCCCCCCCAAATCCCCCAAACCCCCCCAAACCCCCCAACCCCCCCAAACTCCCAAACCCCCCCCCAACCCCCCAACCCCCCCCCAAACTCCAAACCCCCCCCCAACTCCAACCCCCCCCCAAACTCAAACCCCCAACCCAACCCCCCAACTCCCCAAACCCCCCCCCAACCACCCCAACCCCCCAAACCTCCAAACCCCCCCAACCCCAACCCCCCAAACTCCAACCCCCCCAAAATCCCATCCACCCAAACTCCCTAACCCCCCCCCATAAATACAAACCACCCAACCTCAAACCCCCAACCAACCCCCAAACTCCAAACCCCCAACCCCAACCCCCCAAACTCCAAACCCCCCAACCCCCCAACCCCCAAACTCCCCAGACCCCCCAACCCAAACCCCCCAAACTCAAACCCCCCAACCCCCAACCCCCCCAAAATCCCAAACCCCCCAACCCCAACCCCCCCCCACAAAACTCCAAACCCCCCAACCCCCCAACCCCCCCCTAACTCCAAACCCCCCCAAACTCCCACTCCACCCCATTCAACCACCCAAACTCCAAAACCCCCCCAACTCCAACCCCCCCAACCTCAAACCCCCCCCCACCTCAAACCCCCCAAACTCAAACCCCACCCCCCCCAACCTCCAAACCAAATCAACCCCCAAAAACAACAACAAAAACCAAAAACACAAAAACAACAAAAAAAAAAACCCAAAACAAAACAACCCAACAAACAACCCCAAACCAACAAAAAAACAAACAAAAAAAAAACAACAAAACAACAACCACACACAAAAAACAACAAAACACAACAAACAAAAACCAAACAAAAAAAAAACCCCATCCAAACCAACAACCACCACCCCAACCCAACATCTCCCACATTAACTCCAATACAAACACTAAAACAACAACAACAACAACAACAACAAAACAACCCAACTCCTCAAAATTCAAAACCCACCAACTCAAACCCCCCCAACCCCCAAACCACTAACCTCTAACTAACAACAATCACAACCCACAACCAACAAATCCCAAAAAACCTCACAACCCCCCCTAACCCCTCAAAAACCACTTCCAACCCAATTTCCCTACACCTCAACACCACCCCAACCCCCCCCACCCCACCACCCCCCTCACCACACCCACCCCCCACACCCCCACCCCTCCACCCCCCATACTCAAACCACCCCCCAACACCCCCAACCCCCCAAACTCCAAACCCCCCCCCCCAACCCAACCCCCCAACTCAAACCCCCCAACCCCCAACCCCCCCAACTCCCAAACCCCCCCAACCCAACCCCCCCAAATCCAAACCCCCCAACCCCACCCCAAACTCAAACCCCCCCAACCCCAACTCCCCACCAACTCAAACCCCCCCCCAAACCCCCCCAACCCCCCCAACTCCAACCCCCCCCAACCCCCAACCCCCCCAAACTCCAACCCCCAACCCCCAACCCCCACAAACTCAAACCCCCCCCAACCCCTACCCCCCCACCCACCCCCCAAACTCAAACCCCCCAACCTACCCCCCCAAACTCAAACCCCCCAACCCCAACCCCCAAACTCAACCCCCCCCCATCCCCCAAACTCAACCCCCCCAACCCCCCCACACCCCCAACCCTCACCCCCCAACCCACCCCCCCAAACTCAAACCCCCCAAACCCCCAAACCCCCCCCAAAATCAAACCCCTACCCAACCCCCCAATCAAACCCCCCAAACCCCACCCCCAATCCAACCCCCACAACCCAACCCAAACTCAAACCCCCCCAACCAACCCCAAACTCAAACCCCCAACCCACCCCCCCAACCCCCAACCCCCAAACTCCAAACCCCCCCAACCCCCCAACCCCCCCCCCAACTCAACCCCCCCAACCCCAACCCCCCCAACTCAAACCCCCCAACCCCAACCCCCCCCAAAACTCAAACCCCCCAACCCCCTACCCCCCCCCAACCCCAAACCCCAAATCCCAAACCCCCACAACCCCCTACCCCCCCAAACTCCAAACCCCCCCAACCCAACCCCAAACTCAAAACCCCCCACCCCCAAACTCAAACCCCCCCCACCAACACCCCAACCCTCCAACCCCCCCAAACCCAACCCCCAAATAAACCCCCCCCCAACCCCACCTCACCACCCCCCCCCCCCCCACCCCCCCCCAAACCACCAAACCCCCCCCCCCCACCCCACACCCCCAACTACAACCCAACCCAACCCCACAACCAACCCCCACCCCCAACCCCCCCAAACTCAACCCCCCCAACCCCCACCCCCAACCCAACCCCCCAACATCAAACCCCCAACCCAACCCCCCCCAACCCCCCATACCCCAAACTAACAACCCCCCCCAACCCACAACCCCCCCAAACTCAAACTCCAACCCCCAACCCCCCAACCCCAACCCCCAACCCTTCCAACCCCCAACCCCCCCCAACCCCCCAACACCAACCCCCCCAACCCAAACCCCCCAAACTCAAACCCCCCCAACCCAACCCCCCAAACTAAACCCCCCCAACCCCCCCCAAACAACCCAAACCCCCCCCCCAACCCCCCAACCAACCCCCCCCCACTCAACCCCCCCCAACCCACAACCCCCCCAACTCAAACCCCCCAACCCAACCCCCCCAAATCAAACCCCCACCCCCAAACCCCAAACTCAAACCCCCATACTCAAACCCCCCCAACTCAAACCCCCCCCAACCTCCAAACCCCCCAACCCCAACCCCCCCAAACTCCAAACCCCCCAACCCCCCCAACCCCCAATCCAACCCCACCAACCCCCCAAACTCCAAACCCCCCCCAACCCCAACCCCCAAACTCAAACCCCCCCAACCCCCCAACCCCCAAACTCACACCCCCCCAACCCCTACCCCCCAACTCCAACCCCCCCCAACCCCACCCCCCCAAAACTCCCATACCCCCCCAACCCAAACCCCCCAAATCAAACCCCCCCCAACCCCAACCCCCCAAACTCAAACCCCCCCAACCCCCAACCCCACAACCCTCAACCCCCACCCCCCAACCCCCCCAACTCCCAAACCCCCAACCCCCCAACCCCCCCAAAACTCCAAAACCCAACCCCAACCCCCCCCCAACCCCACCCCCCAAATCCCACACCCCCCAACCCCCCAACCCCCCAACCCAACCCCCCCCATATCCAAACCCCCTACCCCAACCCCCCAAACACCAAACCCTCCCCCAACCCCCAACCCCCCCAACCCCCCCAACCCCCCAACAACCCAACCCCCAACCCCACCAACCCCCCAAACTCCCAACCCCCCCAACCCCACTACCCCCCCCATACTCCAAACCCCCCCCAACCCCAACCCCCCCCAAAATCAAACCCCCCCAAACCCCCCCCAAATCCAAACCCCCCAAAACCAACACCCAAAATCCCAACCCACCATCCAAACATACCATCCCAAACTCCCAAACCCCCCCCAACCCCCAACCCACACTAAATCCCTAACCCAACCAACATAACAAACACCATAAACAAACCATATCCATAAACCCCTCCCATAATGACTATACCAACCCTACCTCCCATACCCACACCTAACTCACCAAACAATTCCCTACCACACCATCCAACACAACTCCCCATACCACCACCAACAACACATCCAACCAATACTCCAAACCCCCCCCCAACCCCAACCCCCCAACCTCCCAAACCCCCCAACCCCCCCCAACCCCCCCAATCCAAACCCACCCCCATACCCCCAACCCCCCAAACTCCCAAACCCCCCCCAACCCCCCCAACCCCCCCAAACTCCCAAACCCCACCCACCCCCCCAACCCCCCCCAACCCCCCCACCTCCCAAACTCCAAACCCCCCCAACCCCCAACCCCCCCCAAACTCCCTTACCCCCCAACCCCAACCCCCCCAAACTCAAACCCCCCCCCCAACCCCAACCCCCAACCCAAACCCCCCAACCCCCAACCCCAAACTCAAACCCCCCCAACCCCTACCCCCAAATTCCCCAACCCCCCAACCAAACCCCCCCCCCACACTCAAACCCCCCACCCACCCCCCCAAACTCCAAACCCCAAACTCCCAAACCACCCCAACCCTCCAAACCCCAAACTCAAACCCCCAACTCAAACCCCCCAACCCCCCAACCCCCCCAAACTCCAAACCCCTAAACTCCCACCCCCCCCCCCACCCCAAACCCCAAACACACCCCCCAACCCCCCCCACCCCCAAATCAAACCCCCCCCACCCCACAACAAAACCCCCCAACCAACCCACCCCAATCCAACCCCCCCCCCACCACAACCCCCAAACTCAAACCCCCCCCCCCCCCAAACCCCCCAAACTCCATACCCCCCCCAACCCCCAAACCCCAATCTCCCCAACCCCCCCATACTCCAAACCCCCAACCCTCCCCCCTACCCCCCAACCCCCCCCCAACCCCCCCCAACCCCCAACCCCCCCAAAACTCCAACCCCCAACCCCACACCCCCAAACTCAAACTACCCCAAAAACCCCACCCCCCCAACCCCCCCCCCCCCCACCCCCAACCCCCACCCAACCCCCAACTAACCCCCCCAAATCAACCCCCCCAACCAACCCCCCAAATCCAAACCCCCCCCCCCCAACCAACCCCCAAACTCACCAAACCCCCACCAACCCCCCCAAACTCCAAACCCCCCAACCCAACACCCCCCAACCTCCAACCCCCCCAACCACCAACCCCCCCCCCCCCCCCCCCCCCCCCAACACAAACCCCCACCCCCCCAACCCCCCAACTCAAACCCCCCCACCCCAAACCCCCCAAACTCCAACCCCCCCCCAAACACAAACCCCCCCCACACCAACCCCCCAAACCCCAACCCCCTCCCAACCCCCAACCCCCCAACCCTCAACCCCCAACCCCCTCAACCCCCCCAAACTCAAAACCCCCCCCCCCAACCAACCCCCCAAACACAAACCCCCCCCACACCCCAACCCCCAACACACCCACCCCCCAACCCCCTACCCCCAACACCCAAACCCCCCCCCCCAACCCCCCAAACTCAAACCCCCCCAACCACCCCCAACCCCCCAACCACCCCACTCCCAAACCCCCCCAACCCAACCCCCCCACCTCAAACCCCCCCCCCCAACCCAACCCCCCCAAACTCCAAACCCCCCCACCAACCCCCCCCCCCAAAACCCCCAACCCACCCCCAAACTCCAAACCCCCAACCCCACCCCCCAAATTCCAAACCCCCCAACCCACCAACCCCCCACACTCCACACCCCCCCAACCCCACCCCCAAATCCAAAACCCCCCCAAACTCAAACCAACCCCACCCCTCCAATCCCCCCCAAACTCCAAACCCCCCAACCCTAAACCCCCCCCCCCACCCCCCAACACCACCCCCTCAACACTCAACCCCCCCACCAAACCCCCCACACAAACCCCCCAACCCCCAACCCCCAACTCAAACCCCCCCCACCCAAACACAAACCCCCAACAACACCCCAACTCCCAACCCCCAACACAACCCCAACCTCCAAACCCCCAACCCCAACCCCCCAAACTCAAACCCCCAACCCCACCCCCCAAACAAACCCCCCCCATACTCCCAAACCCCCCAACCCCTCAACCCCCCCAACCATTTCAACCCCCACCCCCAACCCCCCACTCCCCACCCCCCAACCCCCCCCACCCCCCAACTCAAACCCCCATCCAAACCCCCCACACACAAACCCCCCCCAACCCCCAAAACACCAAACCCCCCAACCCCCCCCCCCCAAACTCCAAACCCACCCACCCAACCCCCCCCCCAAACCCCCACCCCCCCCACCAACCCCCCCCCCAACCCCCAACCCCCAACCACAACCCCCAACCCAACCCCAAATTTCAAACCCCCCAACACAACCCCCCAAACTTCAACCCCCCCCCCACCCAACCCCCAACTCAAACCCCCCAAACTCAAACCACCCCACCTCAAACCCCCCCACCCAACCCCCACAACACCAACCCCCCCCCACCCCCCATACCCCCAAACACAACCCCCCAACCAACCACCCAAACTCCCATACCCCCCAACCCAACCCCCCAACTCAAACCCCCCCAACCCCAACCCCCACTACCCCCCCAAACCCCCCAACCCCCAACTCAAACCCAATCAACCCAAACTCAAACCCCCAACTCCCCCCCACCCAACTCAAACCCCCCAACCCCAACCCCAAACTCAACCCCCCCCATACCCAACCCCCCCCAACCAACCCCCAAACCCAAACCCCCCAACCCCCCAACCCCCCCAAATCCCCAACCCCAAAACCCCCACCCCCAACCCCCCAAAATCCCAAACCCCAACCACCAACCCCAAAACTCAAACCCCCCAACCCCCACCCCCCAAACTCAAACCCCCCAAATCCCCAAACCCACCCAACTAAACCCCCCAAACTCAAACCCCCCCAAACTCCAAACCCCAACCCAACCCCCCCCCCCAAACACAAACCCTAAATCAACCCCCCAACCCCCACAACCCCCCCAAACTCCAAACCCCCCCAACCCCACCCCCCACACTCAAACCCCCCCACCCCCAACTCCAAAACCCCCAACCCCCCACACCCCCAACCTCCCAACCCCCCAACCACCAACCCCCCAAACTCAACCCCCCCCCAACCAACCCCCCCAAACTCCAAACCCCCCCCCAACCCAAAACCCCAAACTCAACCCCCATACTCAAAACCCCCCCAACCCTCAAACCCCCCCACAAAAAAATCCCAACCCCCCAACCCCAACCCCCATCCCCAACCCCCCCAACCCCCAACCCCCCAAAATCCAAACCCCCAACCCCCAACCCCCCCAAACCTCCCAAACCCCCCCTACCCCTACCCCCAACTCCAAACCCCCCCCCCCAACCCCAACCACCAACTCCAAACCCCTACCACCCCAACAAAAAAAAAAAAAAAAAAAAAAAAAAAAAAAAAAAACCCCCACAAACTCCCAAACACCCCCCAACCCCACCAACCACCCCCAACCCCCCCAACCCCCAAAACTCAAACCCCCCCCCTACCCCCAACCCCCCAAACTCCTAAACCCCCCCAACCCCCCCCAACCCCCCCCAAACTCCCAAACCCCACCCCAACCCCCCCAACCCCCCCAAACCCCAAACCCCCCAACCCCCAACCCCCCCCAAACTCAAACCCCCTAACCCCCTACCACCCCCAAAATTCCAAACCCCCCCCCAACCCAACCAAACACCCCAAAATCCCAAAACAACCCAAAACCAACCCCAAACCAACACAATTCGCCCAAACACCCCCCTACCCCCCAACCCCCACACAAATAATCCCTAAAACCACCAACCCCTTACCCCCCCAATACTCCAAACCCCCACCCCAACAACCACAACCAAACCATAAACACTATTCCAACACTTCAACCACCTAACCAACACATTTATCACATTACCACCATTCACCCCCTTACACCCCCAAATTGCACTATCCAACCCAATCCCATACCAACCCACCACATTCGCACTATATCCACAACAACTTCAACCACTTCCAACACATTTAGCACCTTACAAACCCATTTAGACTTCATACACATTCAGCACTTACAAACACATTTAGACTTTACAACACCTTACAACCATTCAGCCTTTACACACTTTCAGCCCCTTACCAACACATTCTATTTCCTATACATCAATACTACACTACAACCTTTCCATCCCCTATCTTCTCTTCAATCCCTACTACCACTTTCACATCATTCACCACCATCACTATCATCCCCTTCATCTCTTTTCCCTCTTATTCCCCTTCTATCTTCTTCCTCCACTCTTCCTTTTCATCTTTTCTTTCTTCCCTTTTCTTTCTTCTTCCCTTTCATCACCCCTTCCTCTTCCTTCTTCATCACTAACCATTCCAACATCTATGCGCACTCACAATGGCTTCAGCCATTGTACCAATTCAAGTTCTTCTTCTCTTCTTCTTCATCTTCGTTTCTTCTTCCACTTCCGCCAGATTTTGGCCTTTTCAACTCCTCAACGCTATCACACTTCAACAATTCAACACGTTACGACGTTTCCCTTACCTACAATAAAACAAAAACCCCAACCCAAAACACCTAAACACATCTACCCCCAATTTCCCTCAAAATCAAATCCATACCTATTACCATACCACCCTAATCACCTACACTCCCAATTACCCCCCTCACCTTCATTACCCCCATATACAATACAATACATCAACTAACCCCCTTGCTATCACCAAAAACACACATAACTGCCCATACCACCAAACCCACCAAACCACACATTTATCACTTAACACATACCCATACAACCACATTTGCACCTTACAACAAATTAAACCTTACAACACATTCATCCCCTTACAACCACATTCAAACCTTACAAACACATTTAGCACTTTATAACACCATCCAAACACTACAACCACATTTAGCCACTTTACAAACAAATTCTACACCTTAATACAATTATAGCACCTTACAACCATTTAGCACCTTACAACAAATTCTAACCCTTACAACATCTTTAGCACCTGTTGAATGTGTTTACAACAAATTTCAAACACTTTACCACACATTAGACTAAAGTGCTAAATGTTGTTGTAAGGTGTTGAATTTGTTGTAAGGTGCTAAATGTGTTGTAAGGTGTTGAATTTTGTTGTAAAGGTGCTAAATGTGTTGTAAGGTGCTTTGAAATTGGTTGTCAAAGTGCTACATGTGTTGTTAAGGTGCTTGAATTTGTTGAAAGTGCTAAAATGTGTTGTAAGGTGTTTGAATTTGTTGTAAGGTGCTAAATATGTTGTAAGGTGTTGAATTTGTTGTAAGGTGCTAAATGTGTTGTAAGGTGCTATAATTGTATTAAGGTGTTGAATTTTGTTGTAAAGTGCTAAATGTGTTGTACGGTGTTGAATGTGTTATAAAGTGCTTAAATGTGTTGTAAGGTGTTGAATTTGTTGTAAGGTGCTGAATGTGTTGTAAGGTGTTGAATTTGTTGTAAGGTGCTAAATGTGTTGTAAGGTGTTGAAATGTGTTGTAAAGTGCTAAATGTGTTTGTAAGGTGTTGAATTTGTTTGTAAAGTGCTAAATGTGTTGTAAGGTGCTGCAAGTTTGGTAAGATGCTGTAATGTATTGTATTCTGTGGTAATGAATTGTTAGTGTGGTAATGTGTTGTATGGGGAGTAATCTGTTTGTACTGGTCCAATGTAAGTCAATGGGAAAAAGTGCTTGAACTTTTGTTAATATTTGAAAAAGTGATAAAGGTGGAAGTTTAAAAAGTAATAGCAATAATGAGACGGTTAAGCCGGTACGTAACGATGTATAATTTGTTGATTTGGTGTGAAGCGTTGAGGAGGTTGAAAAGTGCCAAAAGTGCCAATCTGGCGGAAGTGGAAGAAGAAGAAGAAGAAGAAGAAGAAGAAGAAGAAGAACTAGAAATGGTACAATGGCTGAAGCCATTGTGAGTGGCTGCATAGATGTTGGAAGGGTTAGTGATGAAGAAGGAAGAGGAAGGGGAAGAAGAAGGAGAAGAAGAAAGAAAAGGGAAGAAGAGGAAAGAAAGAAGGAAGAGGAGGAGGAAGAAGAAGAAGGGGAAGAAGAAGGGGGTAAGAAGAGGAAGAAGGGGAAGAAGAGGAAGAGTAGAAGAAGAGGAAGAAGAGGAAGAAGGGGAAGAAGAGGAAGAAGGGGAAGAAGAGGAAGAAGTGAAGAAGATGAAGTAAAGAAGAATGTGTTGTAAGGGGCTGAAAGTGTTGTAAAGTGCTGAATGTGTTGTAAGGTGTTGTAAAGTGCTAAATGTGTTGTAAAGTGCTGAATGTGTATTGAAGTGCTAAATGTGTTGTAAAGTGCTATAAATGTGTTGTAAGGTGTTGAATTTGTTGTAAAGTGCTAAAATGTGTTGTAAGGTATTGAATGTTTTGTAAAGTGCCAAATGTGTTGTAAGGTGTTGAATGTGTTGTAAAGTGCTAAATGTGTTGTAAGGTGTTGAATTTGTTGTAAAGTGTTAAATGTGTTGTAAGGTGTTGAATTTGTTGTAAAGTGCTAAATGTGTTGTAAGGTGTTGAATTTGTGTTAAAGTGCTAAATGTGTTGTAAGGTGTTGAATTTGTTGTAAAGTGCTAAATGTGTTGTAAGGTGTTGAATTTGTTGTAAAGTGCTAAATGTGTTGTAAGGTATTGAATGTTTTGTAAAGTGCCAAATGTGTTGTAAGGTGTTGAATGTGTTGTAAAGTGCTAAATGTGTTGTAAGGTGTTGAATTTGTTGTAAAGTGTTAAATGTGTTGTAAGGTGTTGAATTTGTTGTAAAGTGCTAAATGTGTTGTAAGGTGTTGAATTTGTGTTAAAAGTGCTAAATGTGTTGTAAGGTGTTGAATTTGTGTTAAAGTGCTAAATGTGTTGTAAGGTGTTTGAATTTGTTGTAAGGTGTTGAATTTGTTGTAAAGTGCTAAATGTGTTGTAAGGTGTTGAATGTGTTGTAAAGTGCTAAATGTGTTGTAAGGTGTTGAATGTGTTGTAAAGTGCTAAATGTGTTGTAAGGTGTTGAATGTGTTGTAAAGTGCTAAATGTGTTGTAAGGTGTTGAATGTGTTGTAAGTGCTAAATGTGTTGTAAGGTGTTGAATTTGTTGTAAGGTGCTGAATGTGTTGTAAGGTGAAGGTTTGAATTTGTTTGTAAGGTGCTAAATGTGTTGTAAAGTGCTGAATGTGTTGTAAAGTGCTACATGTGTTGTAAGGTGCTAAATGTGTTGAAAGGTGTTGAATTTGTTGTAAAGTGCTAAATGTGTTGTAAGGTGTTGAATTTGTGTTAAAGTGCTAAATGTGTTGTAAGGTATGAATTTGTTGTAAGGTGCTGAATGTTTAGTAAGGTGTTGAATTTGTTGTAAAAGTGCTAAATTTGTTGATTTTTTGTTAAAGTGCTAAATGTGTTGTAAGGTGTTGAATGTGTTGTAAAGTGCTAAATGTGTTGTAAGATGTTGAATTTGTTGTAAGGTGCTAAATCTGTTGTAAAGTGCTAAATGTGTTGTAAGGTGTTGAATGTGTTGTAAAGTGCTGAATGTGTTGTAAAGTGCTAAATGTGTTGTAAAGTGCTGAATGTGTATTAAAGTGCTAAATGTGTTGTAAAGTGCTAAATGTGTTGTAAGGTGTTGAATTTGTTGTAAAGTGCTAAATGTGTTTGTAAGGTATTGAATGTTTTGTAAAGTGCCAAATGTGTTGTAAGGTGGTGAAGTGTTGTAAAGTGCTAAATGTGTTGTAAGGGTTTGAATTTGTTTGTAAAGTGTTAAATGTGTTGTAAGGTGTTGAATTTGTTGTAAGGTGTTGAATGTGTTGTAAAGTGCTAAATGTGTTGTAAGGTGTTGAATGTGTTGTAAAGTGCTAAATGTGTTGTAAGGTGTTGAATGTGTTGTAAAGTGCTAAATGTGTTGTAAGGTGTTGAATGTGTTGTAAAGTGCTAATGTGTTGTAAGGTGTTGAATTTGTTGTAAGGTGCTGAATGTGTTGTAAGGTGTTGAATTTGTTGTAAAGTGCTAAATGTGTTGTAAGGTGTTGAATGTGTTGTACAGTGCTAATGTGTGTAAGGTGTTGAATTTGTTGTAAGGTGCTAAATGTGTTGTACGGTGTTTAATTTGTTGTAAAGTGCTAATGTGTTGTAAGGTGTTGAATGTGTTGTAAAAGTGCTGAATGTGTATTAAAGTGCTAAATGTGTTGTAAAGTGCTAAATGTGTTTGTAAGGTGTTGAATTTGTTGTAAAGTGCTAAATGTGTTTTAAGGTATTGAATGTTTTGTAAAGTGCCAAATGTGTTGTAAGGTGTTGAATGTGTTGTAAAGTGCTAAATGTGTTGTAAGGTGTTGAATTTGTTGTAAAGTGTTAAATGTGTTGTAAGGTGTTGAATTTGTTGTAAGGTGTTGAATGTGTTGTAAAGTGCTAAATGTGTTGTAAGGTGTTGAATGTGTTGTAAAGTGCTAAATGTGTTGTAAGGTGTTGAATGTGTTGTAAAGTGCTAAATGTGTTGTAAGGTGTTGAATGTGTTGTAAAGTGCTAAATGTGTTGTAAGGTGTTGAATTTGTTGTAAGGTGCTGAATGTGTTGTAAGGTGTTGAATTTGTTGTAAGGTGCTGAATGTGTTGTAAAGTGCTGAATGTGTTGTAAAGTGCTACATGTGTTGTAAGGTGCTAAATGTGTTGAAAGGTGTTGAATTTGTTGTAAAGTGCTAAATGTGTTGTAAGGTGTTGAATTTGTGTTAAAGTGCTAAATGTGTTGTAAGGTATTGAATTTGTTGTAAGGTGCTGAATGTTTAGTAAGGTGTTGAATTTGTTGTA